ACCACGTCCAGAGTTGATGAATTTTTATTCTCTTTTTTTTGGTCATCATAATTACAAGGCTACTGCATCTCTATAATGCTATCATTGACAATTTGAAACAAAAACAAAAAAAAATCCTCCATACAACCTTTAAGTTGTGTTTACTCAAAGTTTAGAAATAGTCCTACTAACTTAATTATGTCAAGTTGCTGTAACATGTTCTTCTTTTTGAGTAATTTTAACTAATATTTTCTGATTAAAGTGTTATCAAAAAATATGAGTAGCAAGTCATCCAACCTTTTAATTGAGGCAATCGATTACCTCTTTTTTTTAGTTCTGGTAACTTATTTGGGTTTACAGCGTGGAAAGAGAAGAGGAGGAGCTCAGACTAGCAACTAAGGACATGATGAAATAATGAATTTAAACTATAGCAAGATGTAGCATGTTTGTACGGTTGGATAAATCATGTTGTGGTGATGGATCTTTTGCAATAATCATAATAAAACATTAAATCACTCCTTGTCTCCAAAGAGATGTTATTGCTCTGCCTGGAATATTTTACAGTATGTTAAAGTTATTTGCCGTGCCATCAAGATGTATTCTCGCAATTTTTGTGAATACTGTGGGAAATATTATGTGTTGGTCATGCTAATTCACCCAATATTATGGACTTTGGAATGACAACAGGGTGGAAAACACGTATGACTATCTATAAGTCTATATAACATGTTTTTTCTGTACTTTGAGTGTCATAAAGAACATGTTTTTCTGGACTTTGAGTGCCACGAAGCAGAAAAACTGACATATGTGGACCCCGTGGCATGTTCCCACCCCATGATAAGGTGCACTGGGTCAGCAGTATTGTTCATTTTCTTGCTGTATATGCTAAATCAACAAGTTAATGTTTTGTCAAGATGTAGTATAAAGCTACCCCTGATTTTGAGTTGGTCAGAGGCGTCGTTCCGGGGTGGCAGTTGTACTTGGTAATCAACTTGAATCTCTCTCAATGGAAATGCTGAAATAAAGTGGCCTGTTCTCTCGGATTCTCCATCTCCTGTGCCTCTTTTTAGGACACGCATTGAACCTTCCGAAAAAACCCACAGTTCCCAGCTCTTGTGAATCCGTCTCGTTTGCATGTGATAGAAAACTGACCAGTCACAGGGCAAGACTGTGGTTTGAGCGGAAGTCGCCCAGCGTTCGATTATCTTCCAACTCCCGCTTGGACCTCGGATTTGACGTCACGTTCGAGCTTGAAGCGTATTATTATGTTTCGCGTGTCGGACTTGGAGAGCCTCACCACAACACCGACTAGCACACCCACAGGCAGTGATACGGACGCGGTGAAGTATTGCAGTAATATGAGTGACTGAAATTGTCATTTAAACCAAACACAATGAAAACAGTTCATATTTACATATCACAATGGGCAGAACCATCTTGGATTTTGACTTGGAATCCTTGCTCGGTCTACTTTTTCCGCCACCGAGATCTGAGTTGCGCCGTTGCAGGAAAAGGGGTGCCTCACGCTGGTCTCTAGGTAACTTCCTTGGAAAACCGTTTCAGAAGGATAATCGAACACAAAGTCAACACCGAAATAACCAAAACAAACATGGCGACGCTGACAGAAGTACTTCAGGCTTATTTTAATATAAATACACACTATTTTGTTCGTGAAAAAGGTTCAGAGGGAAGCGTTTTGGTCATTTGTGGACGGTTACGACGTCTGTGCTTTTTCCTCGACACGACTGAACTCAGGTTTGATTTTTTGGGGTGTCCCGCCGTTGTTGCGCTTCAACCAATCAACATCAGCTCTTTGTATGAACGTTCCAATCATTGGTCCTGAACACTTTCAACCAAAACTAGAACTTCATTCAGAGGGCCACACATATCAATCTGGCAGTTCAGGTTAAAACTATGTACCTGTGCATGCATCTGTGGAGAGGCGAGCTCACTTACGGCAAGAATCCATATTTTTTTTATTTGTTTGGCAATGAAAAGACCTGTAATTGAATAAAGGTTAAAGGAATAATTTTAATGACAATATCATATCATGCTCAATGGGACGAGATCACAAGAATATAATCAATAACATGTTGGTGTATGTAGTTGGTAAACCACTGTGGACATTTTATTCCTTCACTTTGAAAACACATGTTACTATCCATTTCACTGGGGGACTTTGTAGGCCAGCTTAGAGCTTCTCAGTTACATTTTGTGTTGCTTTGTGGGGAAAAATAGCCCGTGAAAAACAGATGTCATGGCAGATTAATGACAATGCTTTTACAATTCACTCATGTGGGATTTTGAAGGGTTTCGAGGGGCTTTGGGGGTCACTCAGTGCACTGTCCATTTAAGAACAGTGTCAAACTACATTTATTAGAAAAAACATCCCTGTGGTCAGTTACAAGGTTTACAAAACACAGGAGAATGAAGAAGAGAAGGAGGGTTTGGTGATGAAGAGGGATAGTGGAGGGTGGAGGGAGGCCAGGAGACGAACTTGGCTAAATGGGTCGGATCTTTGTGGTTTGGAGCGAGAACTAAAGGTCTGGAGAAGTAAAACAGACAGGGATGTGACCTACACCTCCGCACTGAAACCAGAGACACAGGTTTCATTAAAAAGTATTTTTCACGGAATATTACATCAGAAGTAGATACAATTAGGAAAAGCAATTAAAATCTATAAGTATAAGTATAATAATTAATGTTAAGTTTTGTTTACTTTAGTTGATCACTGTGTATTCTTGTGCAAAATTAAATGTATTATATGTATGTTAGTAGAAAAACGTATGGATTGCAATACATTTCAAAAGAATATTATGCATGATGTTAGGTCTATTACTCCTGTCACTGCTCCTGCCTCTGCTCCTGTCACTGCTCCTGTCACTGCTCCTGCCTCTGCTCTTGTCTCTGGTCCTGTCTTTGCTCCTTTCACTGTTTCTGTCTTTTCTCCCAGAGTTTTTAAATGTTTATTGGTTTATTGATTAAAATTGTTTTGCAGTGAAGTGATCTGTAAAAGAAAATGAAATAAGTAAATGATAGAAGTGCATTTATTTAAGTAATTGTTTGTAAAATTAAATTCTCTTGTTAGGAGGAGGCGAGCACAGATATTTTAACTCTTTTCTATTTAGTATTTTTATATTACTGCTAAATTAATAAAGATATATATTTTTGTATTTAGATGCAATTGAAGATTTGAGGATTGTTTTTCATACAGTTAACTTTTAAACATTGAACTGAAATGATCTGTATTTACCTGCAGTTTGAGATGAGCTCACCCAATTAAAGAAGGTGTCCTATAAAAGGAGACAGCCTCACCTGTGTCGAGAGAAGATGCTGCTTCTTGTAAATATAAAAAAAAAAAATCTTGGTTGTGGAATAAATGCACTTTGAGTCTGCACTAAAAATCAGCTCAACTTGACTCTTAGCATAAAAAAATATTCTAAATCTACAATGTTGTTAAAAAAAAATTTATGAGATACTTAATTTAACTTAAGAAAACACGTTGTCACATCAGTCATTTTGGTACCAGCAAAAAGAATCAGTGTATCATTTGTTCATTCATTTTTCAAAATAAAACCAAAAATAAGAAAACAAAAAAACTACAATTTTGTTCATTACTTGTCACCAAAACCAAAATGAAAAAACAGATAACGATTTGTTTTTACAGTTTAAATTTGGTCTTTAAATGAATAAATGAAAAAACGGATAATGGTCATTTCCTGTTTACATGACTTGAACTGCGATGCCGAACTTTTGAACCACAAAACTGACTGAACCAGGACTGAACCAGGACTTAAACCAGGATGAAACAAGGACTAAACCATTTTCAGTCCTGGTCTGGTCCTGGCCTCAGTCCCAATCTGGTCCAAGTCTGGTCCTGGTCTGGTCCCGGCCTCAGTCCTGGTCTCACTCCCAGTTTGGTCCTGGTCTCAGTCCTGGTCCTTTTCCCGGTCTCAGTACTGGTTTCAGTTCTAGTCTGATCCCGGTCCCAGTCCTGTCAACACAAACGATCGGCCCCACTGACTTTTTGCCTACCAGCCACTGAGCACGGACGAAAAAGCTGGATGTAAACAAAAACGTTTTCTCGTATGAGTCATAGAAGTTATTAATTCTACCTTTTACTTCTCAAATCGTGTCGTATAACAAAAAGAAAGAACCAATAATTTCTCAGTAATGCAAAAAATATGGACACATGAAAAGTTCTGACCTAGAAAAGAAAAAAAAAATATTACTCCAACTTTCATGTATCGAAGTTGAGATGGGGCATGGGTTTGTATTGTGGTTATATTTTTTGCTTTAAAGTGCGTTTGTAAACTTGTAGTGGCACTGTGTTAATGACAAAATTACATGGAAAACCGGTGCTCTCTTTTACAACTGGTTAGAACGTCGTAGAGTGAAAGTGCAGACATGAAGTTACACATGATGCTCCAAAGATTGTAGGTTTGCGTTGGTGTGGGTGGAAACGGGGCCATGGCGTCATAGTGCACTGATAGTGAACCCGGCCGCCGCATAAAGACTCTGCTCTGTGAATGTGTGGTGACCTCCTGCTCGCCTCGTGCCTCTGCCAGTGTTTGGTCTGGGTTTGGTCTGGCCCTGGTCTGCTCCTCGCCCCTCTCCAGTGGGTGTGAGCGAGACCCAGCCTCATCCTGTTTATGCTCTCTGCTCTCTCTGCTCCTCTGCCTCTGCTCCTCTGCTTTCTGCTCCTGTGTCTCCTGTCTCCGCCTGCTTCTTCTCTCCTGCTCTGTCTGCTTCTGTCTGCTCTCTCTCTTCTCTCTTGCCTGCTCTGCTCTCTGCTCACTGTCTCTGCTCCTGTCCATGTTCCTGTCACATTTCCGGCCTCTGCTGCTGTTCCTGCTCTTGTTTCTGCATCTGTCTCTGCCTTTGCTCCTGTTTCTGCTCTTGCCTCTGCTCCTGCCCTTGTCTCTGGTCCTGTCTGTGCTCCTGTCAATGTTCCGGTCTCTGCCCCTGTCTCTTCTCCTGTCTCTCTTCCTTTTCCTACTCTTCTCTCTGCTTCTTCTTCTGTCTCTGTTTCTGTCTCTGCTTCTGTCTCTGACTCTCCTCTTGTCTCTGCTCCTGTCTTTGCTCCTGTTCCTGCTCTTGTTTTTGCTACTGTCTCTGCCTTTGCCCCTGTTTCTGTTTTTGTCTCTGCTCCTGCCACTGTCTCTGGTCCTGTCTGTGCTCCTGTTACTGTTCCGGTCTCTGCCCCTGTCTCTTCCCCTGTCTCTGAGCCTGTTTCTGCTCCTGTCTCTGTTTCTGTCTCTGCTCCTGTTCCTGCTCTTGTCTCTGGTCCTGTTCCTCTTCTTGTCTCTGGTCCTGTCTTTGCTCCCGTCACTCTTCCGGTCTCTGCCCCTGTCTCATCTCCTGCCTCTGCCCCTTTCTCTTCCCCTGTCTCTGCACCTATTCCTGCTCTTGTCTCTGCTTCTGTCTCTGCCTCTGCTCCTGCCTTTCCTCTTGACTCTGCACCTGTCTCTGCTCCTGCCCCTGCCTCTGCTCCTGTCTCTGCTCCTGTCACAGTGCCGGCCTCTGCTCCGGTTCCTGCTCTTGTCTCTGCATCTGTCTATGCCTCTGCTCCAGTTTCTGCTTTTGCCTCTGCTCCTGCCCCTGTCTCTGGGCCTGTCTTTGCTCCTGTCACTCTTCCAGTCTTTGCTCCTGTCTTATCTCCTGTCTCTGCCCCTGTCTCTTCTCCTGTTCCTGCCCTTGTCTCTGTTTCTGTCTCTGCCTCTGCTCCTGCCTCTCCTCTTGACTCTTCTCCTGTCTCTGCTCATCTCCTTGCTCCTGTCCCTGTCTCTGGTCCTGTCTCTGCTCCTGCCCCTGTCTCTGCTCCTGTCTCTGCTCCTGCCCCTGTCTCTGGTCCTGTCTCTGCTCCTGGCCCTGTCTCTGGTCATGTTGTTGCTCCTGTCACTGTTCTGGTCTCTGCTCCTGTCTTTGCTCCTGTTCCAGCTCTTGTCTCTACTACTGTCTCTGCCTCTGCTCCAGGCTCTTCTCTTGTCTTTGCTCCTGTTTTTGCCCTGTCTCTGCTCCTGCCCCTGTCTCTGCTCCTGTCTCTGCTCCTGCCCCCTGTCTCTGGTCCTGTCTCTGCCTCTGTCTCTGCCCCTGTCTCTTCTCCTGTCTCTGCGTCTGTTCCTTCTCTTGTTTCTGCTACTGTTTCTGCTTCTGTCACTGCTCCTGCATCTCCTCTTAACTCTGTTCCTGTCTTTGTCCTGTCTCTGCCCCTGCCTCTGCTCCTGTCTCTATCTCTGGTCCTGTCTCTGGTCCTGTCTCTTTTTTGGTCTCTGCTCCTGTCCTTGTCTCTGGTCCTGTCTTTGCTGCTCTCTCTGCTTCTACCTAGGCTCCTGCTGCTGCTCCTGTCCCCGTCTCTGCTCCTGCCTCAGCTCCAATCTCTTCTCCTGTCACTGCTCCTGTCATCATCCCAGCGCTCGAGTTTGTGTCTGTGGCTTCCCGTGATTGATGCTGGTGTCGTCTGAATTCATAACTTACAACAGTATCATTAAACTGTGGTTCAGGACATTTTCCAAGACGTTCAAACCGCTCGGTCCCTGCTCCAGCCATAAATCAGTGACTGTAATTACACATAAATGTACGTTTGCATGTCCCCTCTCAGTTCTGGTTCAAAAGTTATTGCTTTTTGGCAAATAAACTGTAAATAAACATGTATTCTGGTCTTTGTTGAGTTGAAAAACGCCTGTTAACATAAACGCTGTGGTGGGTTAGCCAACAAGTTATAGGCTGTAACTCTGTAATCATTTTATTGAACATGACATCAATCGTGTTAAATTAAAGTCATTACCAGTTCTGTATATGCAACTGCAATGGTGCGTCCAAGTCATTGCAAAAACCTGACAACGCAAATTTGTTGGTAAAATGTTGTTGCGTTTAACAAAAGAAAAAGAAAGAAAAGAGTTTGTTTGTTTGTTTTGAGGTTAAGTGACTTCCTGAAAAAGTTTCCATTACAAAAGCTCTTAACAACACACAGAGATGAGGTCCAACATACCACATGAGTTCGTCAAATGAACAGAGACCCTGCGGTGGTCACAAAGGCCAGTGAATGAGGATTTCTCTGTCAAAAAGTAAACCCAAAAGCTCCCTACCTCAATATTTCTATGATTTGTTCACTGTGAATGTGAGAACGAAGAGTACACGACAGAACCAGATCAAACGGAGAATTAAAACAAAACCTGATCTGGGACTAAACCGCGACAAAACTAGATCCAAACCATGGGTGAAACCAAAGACACTGCCTATCCATGGGTTTCGGAAAGATGGAAAATTAGTTGCCATAGCGATTGACAACTGAAAACTAAACATATCTTTTCTTTGGGAAAAGGTCCTGAAAACAGCAGAACCTGAAACAACACAAACCAACTTAAAGTCAACAGCATCTATCAGAACTGGGAAAACCAAACCTGCACTACAAAAAACAAAATCTTGCCAAGTTAAGATGACTTGAATTAAGAAAGTTTGATCATGATTTGAGTAAATTTCACTGGACAAGTAAAAATATCTGCCAGTGGAACAAGACTTTTTGTACTTAAAATATGTAAATACATCTTGTAACACTTAAAATAAGAAAAACAACAACTTTTTGCACTTAAAATAAGAAACAAAATCTAATGTTGCTAGAATTAAGAAAACACTTATTCCATTGGTAGATCATTTTACTTGTCATTTCTACTCAAATAAAGTAAAATGTTCTTGATTTTAAATTTTTTTATTTTTATTTTAATCATTAATTTATTTTTTTTTTCTTTTCCAGTGTGGACCAAACCTCACAATATTTTAAAGTCCTGTACCTGATTCTGAGTATAATGTGTTTTACCCCAGTACATGTATTTTGTGTAGGCCTGCTGTCTGCAACTAATTATAAGTGTTTTATTATGCGATAATCAGGAAGTGTGCAGTAGCATGCTAGCTTTGTTGGCCTTATTGTGACTGTAAAACTCCACTCTGGCCTCTGAGAGTTGTGGAAATTGGTAAATAATAGGATGCTCAGAATGCATAAGGTAAGTGAAGAATAACTTTGAAACACTGCAAGCCATTTAAAATGAATTATTTCTGTTTTTCACATTTTTCAGACAGTAAAAATCTTAAAAGCGACAATATTATGCTATTTTTTTAATCTATGTTGTAATATTTTCTCATAAAAAATATATCTGGAGTTGTGTTTTGTTTCATTCACACATGTTTAACACACAGACCCTGCATTTTTAGGCTGAGTTCATATCTCAAAAAAACAACAACTTTGTTCTCCACAGTGATTTTAAACTCCATACACCTTCACTAGAATCATTTGAATAATTTCAGCCCTGGAATTGCTAATCTCTACTGAACAAAAACTAAAAAGTAGCTGCTAACTTGAACTTTGAACTTACTCAAATCATGATAAAACTTTCTTAATTTAAGTCATCTTAACTTGTTAACTTGTTCTGTTTTTCACATTTTTTAGACAGTAAAAATCAGGTACAGAGTCTTTAAAGGGCCAATATTATGCTATTTTTTGATCTATGTTATAATATTTGCTCATTAAAAATAGATCTGAAGCTGTGTTTTGTTTCATTCACACATGTTTAATACACAACTCCTGCATTTTTAGGCTGAGTTCTTCTCATTTGAATAATTTCAGCACTGGAATTGCCAATCTCTACTGAACTAAAAGTAAAAAGTAGCTCTTAACTTGAAGACTACTGCTTCATGACATCACAAGGTGGAACGGAGCATTTTGAGCTTTGGAGATGTGGACAGACTAATAATGCAGGGTTATTTAAACATGTGTGAATGAAACAAAACACAACTCCAGGTTTGTTTTTGACGAAGCAGCAATTTTCTAACATGGCTAAAAGCTCACAAGAGTCCATTTTACGTTCTATAGGACCTTTAATAAAATCCCCTTGTAACATACTATTATCTTGGTGTAGCTATTTTCCCTCTTGGTCATTAGTCTCAATAATTGGTTGAGCTGAAACGCATACATTCCCTTTAATGGAAAGCCTATATTTATTGCATTAGTCCATCTTATGATCTAATATAGAGAGTTGGAAGGCTGCAGTCGCTCCCAGCTGGCTCAGAGAATAAGAGCAAAGCCTGGACAAATTCCAGGTAATCACAGAGACCAAAGTTTGAGCCAGAAAACTATTCACCAAAATGAACTCAGTGGAACATTTTGGATTTGCCAATTCACCTAATCCCAGTCACGTCTTTGACTGTGGGAGAGAATCATAAAAAGTAGAAGGTTGTGGTCAGTCGGGGAATCAGAGCCAAAGGATTTCATCAGGTGCTCTGACCACATGTGCACAGTGCTTCACTCAGCTATGACTGTTCATTAATAGTCCAATATTCTTCTAAACCAACTTTCTTTTAGCTTTTATTTATGTTTTAAAGTTATAACAATGCTGATGAAGTATTAAAAAAGTAATGAAACTCTGCAGGGGGTGTGATCTTAACTTTAAACACTGCTTTGTCTGAAGTTCTGCTATTTAACTTAGACTTTAATCTAAGTCTATGTTCAGACTGCAGGGCTTAATGCTCAATGCAGATTTTTTTGTGAAATCTGATATTTTTGCGAGGTCGTTCACATTTCCAATTAAACGCGACTCACATGTGATCTCCAGTGTAGATTATGAAGTGTAGGGGTGGGATTAAAGGTTGTATGGAGGATTTTTTTTTTGTTTCAAATTGTCAATGAAAGTTTAAAATACCCTAACAGAGATGCAGCAGCCTTGTAATTATGTTGACTAAAAAAAAAAAAAAGAATGAAAATCAACTGTGGACGTAGTCAGAGCAGATAAACATCAGCCAATAGATAACCAGGCTACCTCATTTTCTATTGGCTGTTAGATTGTCAATCAAACTCCCTGCGTTTCTAGTGTAACTGACTTGCAGGCACGCAGGGATTATGTGGTTTATGCAGTGGTTCTTAGAGGCTTTTTAAAACTGTAGCTTCTTCGCAGTTCATTTGTTTGTTTGTTGAGATGACGGACGAGAATCCACGACTAGTTTGCCACAAAAGAAAGTCCGTTTTTGATGTCGCAGAAGAGAAGGAGAAAGGAGCAAAGCCAAACTGAGGTGATTCTTGGAGATCTCTTCCAGCGATTGCACGAATGAAGCAGACGAAGGGTCTAAAAACTGATGCATTGGTCGCTATATTATTTCTAGACAGGTCACTTCAGCAGTAATTCTGAACATGCACTGGCTGTAAACAAGCGTGATTTTTAGAGTAAAGATGCGAGAGGAGGTGTTTCTACTGAGGGAACTGTGGAGGAGGAAGGTGGTGTCACGCATGCATAACATTTGAAAAAGTTCTGTCACTTTATTTCTTTTCCCTTTAAAAAATCCTCTATACAACCTTTAAATAAGTTTGTTTTCTTCCCACTCTTTTTTGGGCAAAATAATAATAATAATAGTACATTTTTGTTGTTATTTTCATTTCTATTATGATTTCACTTATGTTATATGTTCCATTGTATATGAATAAATATTACTTGCCCAAAATAAATGCATAAATAAAATAAAATAAAAACATTAAATGCCCCGGAAGTGTCCCATATGTGCACTGGAGGACACAATGACATCACACGCAGCGAGCATCCTCAGTGTTTGTGGAATTCGCCTAAACATGGACACAAGTATTGAACACCTGGTGATTTTAAAGTTGCTGTTGTACCGGAGCCAGAACATGTACATCTTATTTGTTTTAAGGAGGAGATTAAGAAAAAGAAGGATGTTTTGTGGGGCAGTGGCAACAACGTCCATAGAAAAGAACGTTTGGGTGTGGAGTTACATGTGCTTCACTGCTTCACTAATACGAAGTTCATACACAATTTTCGTATGATGAGAAGAACGTTTGTGTACATTTCTGTCTACTTCAGCGTGGAATATTGATCTTTATCTTTGTTGATGATGTGTACATCAGATGAATGTGACCTGGCCGTTCACACTGAAGTCGTATATCAAAAGATCAGATATGTATCTGTTTTTGGAGCACATATCCAAGTCTGGGTCATTAAAAGATCAGATACGGGTCACATAGGGGCGAAAAAATCTGATTTGGGTCACTTCAGGCTGCAGTCTGAACGTAGTCTAAGATGTTTTTACATAATCTGACCAGAAAGAACTGATTTACTACAACAACTACAACAGGTAAGATTATTTGTGTCACAAGTTTTATTTTATCTGCACGTGTATCTTAAGTGTGAGACCAGTTCCAAATTTGCCTACAGGGACTATAAGGGTCTACCTTACAGAGGAGTTTCAATCCGTGTA